TCGTCTTATTATTGTAAAGATTGTGATAAACCATATAAAAATAAAGATAAACATAAATGTGTTAAAGATTACAAAGGTTGTAAATTGTGTACACGTTTTGGTGATAGAATTATACATTTAGGTTCAAAAAATAGAATATTTTGTGAAAAATGTAATAGATATTGTTATAACTTATAATCAAGTATGTTTAAATTATCATAAATATGTATGTGATAATGTATACAAATGTATTGATTGTAATAGAATACTGTTAAGAAATAAGTATCATGAATGCGAATATAGTGAATGTAGAAATTGTCTACAATATGTGAAAATAAATGAACATCAATGTTATATGTTAGCTAGAACATCAAAAGGAGGTAAATGTTTGAGAGGCTGTACAAATTAGTATCTGAACAATTTTTTTTTTCTGTACTTTTCTAAGTCCACGTGAAAAATGATAGAGAACAGTATTTTTTTTTTTTTTTTTTTCATTTTTTATGGAGATACTGGCCTTCGAAATGTCGCAGGTGGCTGTGGTATGGAAAAGTAGGCGTGTCTATTCCGTGACGTCAATCCGCATTACGACGGCTGCCGCCAGTGCCGCGACAACGCGCGAGACGTTGTTTACACGGCAAGCCGGCTAAGTAAGTTGCTTAAACAAGCAACTTAAGTCCAAGTAGTCCAACTAGGTGCTGGGATTAGGTTGTTTTATGATGCTGATTAGTTACATAATATAATAATATTAATATAATGTAACAAAAAAACACAAAATTAGTGTTTATGGACTGCATATAATAATAAATTATGTATTTCACTATTTAACCATAACTTAAACCTAGTACCTAGGTATTTTAAATATACATCTACGTCCTACATATTATAATAATATAATATTAGGTATAAAACAAACAATATATAATTTATTGGGAGTAGTGTCGCAATGGCCATGGCGAATAGTAATACAAATAGTCTAGATTAAGAGACGAGTAGGTATTCAGGGCTGACGCTAGCTTTTGCGAGCCCTTGGGAAAAATATACTGCAAGCCGCGAGGCCCTTTTATATTAAAAACAAGTAGGTACATGTTTTGAGCTGCTAGCCATAACATCCACCGCCTCGCCAACACTATTAGTATTACAATGGTTTTAAAAATAGATTCCTACTTGAAATTCCGTCTGATGATTAAACGTTTACAATAATATTATTGATGTTTTGTTTTAATGTGTGACAGTGATAAAATATTGTTTTTCTATTTCACATTAAATCTTAATGAACATTTACCATCTTTATTTTTTGTGTGTGAACAATTCTTTGTGGTATAAAACAGTTTATTTTCGATCTTAAAAATTATAATGTCAACTAAAATGTTTGATAAAGCTTGTTCTAGTAATATACCCAAAATAAATATATACATGGTTAATGACTTTATAAAAAACAGTGATTGTTTTAATGATCCTGAGCTTAGAGGATCAAAAGCCCAAAGGTAAGTTTGCCATACATCTAACCTAACCTATGGCTGTATTTCAATATTGTACAAAACATAAATTAAGTTCCTACCTACTTACTAATTGTATATTATAGATCAACACGAGAAAGCTATGGTGATTCAGCTATTGGATATGTAGAACTACTGCGCAAAGGAAATATTTGTTTAGTTAAAGGACAAATATGTCCAGAACATAGAATAAGACAGAAAAATTATAAGGTAGCTTTAACTGTGGATGAAGAGGAAGAGAAAATAGTAGAAGTTAATTGTGATGACTGTGCAGCTTCATTAGGTATAAACTTTTATATCATTAAATACTAATTATACCTAATTATTTAAAACTATATATTTTAAGTATTATGGTTAAAATACATATTTATGTAAAATTATATCTAATTTCAAAAATAATTTTTAAGAAAATATAATTATTATTCTTTCTTATTAAACTTAGGTGGATGTAAACATGGCTTAGCATTTCTTATGTATTTACATAGAAAAAGTGAAGAGTCATCAGTAACATCAGTTGATTGTTATTGGAAAAAACCAAAGCTATCTGGTATAGGATCAAGTATTAAGTTTATGAACACTAAAGACCTATTTCCACCAAAAAATGTAAAAAAACAAACCATTAATAAAATAAATGTTACAAAATTGTTTGAAGATGTAATAGAATTGGGAAGAAAAAATAATATAAATTGTCAATTAGGCCAGTACAACTATTATTTGAGTATAATATCAAATTTATCTATACATAGATTAATGTCAGATTTTAGAACACAACAGCAAATGAATACAGGTAATGGCCACATTTGTTTTAAGATTTTTAAGATTTTATCACTTAAAAATAATATAACCTTATAATTTTTATTTTTTATGTTCAGTTGTCAAATGTTCAGAATTCATTAATTTTATCAAAAGTGTTATACAATCAAATGCTGGAATATTACAAAAAATAGAAAGAGAAACACAAGATCAATCCAACAATAATAGTTGGTTTGAAATGCGATATGGACGGATTACTGCATCCAAGGTATATGAAGCATCTAAATGTAATACAACAGATGGTACTCTGGTTAAACAAATTTTAGGGATCTCAAAGATAAAATTATCCAAAGCAATGAACAGAGGAATACATTTGGAACAACAGGTTAGTCTAATACTTAAAAATGTAAGTAGTATTCTGTAATTTATTTTTCATTACACTAAATAATATTATTTGTGTTTCAGGTTATAAAACAAGTAGAAACACTTTTAGGCTCTAAAATTAAAAAAACTGGATTACTTATTGATAAGAACTTTCCAATATTAGGAGCATCAGCTGATGGTCTAGGAGAAGACTTTGTCTTAGAAGTAAAATGTCCTACAACTCATTCTACATTTTTAAATTATGTAGATAATGGAGTTGTAAAACCAAAGGTTTATTTATATTAAAAATATAAACCAGTAAATAATTATCTTATTATTATTAATTTATAATATTATGTATGTTGTAGGTACTATCTCAAATACAAATTCAAATGCATATACACGAGATGTGGAAAGGAATTCTAGCTATTGCTGACCCTGAATTTGAAAAGAATAAAAAAGTTACCATTGTAAATATTGATTATGATAAACAAATGTGTGATACTTTAATTGAAAAATGTTGTACATTTTGGGAAAAAAATATACTTCCAAAATTATACTAGTTATAAAAATTAAATATTAAGAACATTTTACATTGTAATATAATAATTTATTGTAAAAGTCAACAAGGATTACAATAATTTGAAATTAGAATACACTTAAATTAAAAATGACTTATGTAAAAAAAAAAACTATTAAATACTATTGTTTTATAATTGGTTGTTGAAGATTTATTAACCCACATGCAATAGTTATAATTTCATCAGTATTACATAATAATTGACAGTTAATAAGTGCATGGGGTTTTAACGTTTCAAATTCTCTTAATCGTCCTATTACACGTTCTATATGAATACGAAGGCTAGCAATACGTTTAGTTTCTAAAACATCATCTTTTGTTGACTTAGAATTTTGTGAAACACTAGGAGGCCTTATGAGAACACAATTAATTTTATTTAACAACACATCAATACATTTAAACCCACGGTCTGCCATTACAGATGTATTTTCAGGAACAAGATTTAAAAAATTACTTTTCTCTACTATCAATACATCAGTACATCTACCATTAAAACCATCTGATATAAAACTAATAAATCCATCTGGAGTTGAAGATATAAGGTATTTTAATGTGTTACATTTTTTATATTCTGACCATGTTAGTGCTTGTTTAATAGGATCTGATGGTTTTGGTATTTCTATTTCTAAACAGTCTATAATAGATTGAACAGATGAATAACGATAACGAAAAGGAATAGGTAAAAGTTCTTTTATTAATTTTTTTTTGGGCCAGTATATAAATTGCTTAAAAAAAACAGAAAGTGTAGGTAAAGTTTTATGAAATAGTCTGCAGACTAAACTTTCAGATATTCCAAACATATCTCCTAATCTTCTGAATGAATCATTCAGTTTTATTTTCATTAAAGTTATAAATATATTCCTCTCATCTAGTTCTATATGAGAACTTATTAATTTAATTAAATTACATTTATACCATTCTTCATTGAGACCTATATATGCTTTTGGATTACTACTAATATTGTGTAAAGTTACTTCATAGGCCATTTTTTTAAATCGTTCATTAGTATATTCAAAATCTAAGTTAAATGAATTTTCACTTTCAATAGAACTAGAAAGAGCTAAAGCATCTGATGTTTCCGAACTGTTATCACTAGATTCTGAGACTGAACAATAGTTTTCTTTTACATATAAATTTTTAGTATTACAAGATTCTAAAAGGTTTACTTTAATAGGTGAACAAGCTACTGTTTTAAACTTAGTTGAATTCTCTGATAATTTGCATTGAATTTTTTTGGATCTTGTGCTTTTTAAATTGCTTATATTGACTTGCACACCAACATCACTAGTTTTTATATTATGCATCACATATTCTTTTTGTTGTAAATCAATTGTATTATTTTGATCATCAATACAGATCTCCTCAGATATATTATCACCTATAATTGACAATAAATTATTGTAAAAGTTTCCAATTTGTATCTAAAATGTATACAATTATTTAAAATTATAAAACTTTACTTTTATTTAAACTATATTCGTTAACTGCATTTTCCACATCTAATTTTCTTTTCCTTTTTAAAAATAATGGACGATTTAGGACAGTAGAAGATCTTTTTCTATCCAACTGACAATCAAATTTATGTGAAATGACACCTTTTTTCAATATAAGTCTTTTAAGTCCCATTAACTTAAATTGAACATAATTTTCAAGATCATTTTCAATCTGAAAAAAACAGGATAGTGTCACTGATTTACTTTGACACTTGAAAATAAATTCTATTCATTTTTTTCAAAAATTGTTAATGCAATTTTAGAGCCTTATTAAGGTCAAGAAATAAAACTTATCTTGGAGATATTTAAAAATTAACTTTATATAGGTATTCTTTTAATCTATATAGAAATATTAATTTATACTTAACATGTTTTTACATACATCAAAATGATCTTCGCATTATCTGGTGTACTTACACTCGTGTTTTTACAAAGTGGAACAGAGCAGTATTTATAGACGCTGTTTTTACGTTTGACTGTTGCCATTATGTAAGATTATTAAATGTTAAATGACAAAAATTAAATTATTAAAAAATAAAGTGTTTTTAAATTTAAGCACATTGAAAATCGTTGTGTTAAAGATGTGCTCAACAGTCAAAAAATAATAAATAATAATAATATTGAGTGCGAGTAGTGCAACTGCAAGGCCGCATGGGTGATAGGACATGCGGAGTGACGTCACAATTAAATGGCGGGAAAAACGCCGTTTTTAAAAATACGTTATTTCGACCCATACTCCATAATACTCCTAAAAGTGGTAAAAATGATTTTTTTTTTTTGCGTCTTCGAAATCTTATTTTGAATATTAAACCAAACACCTTACATACTATTTCATTAAATATTTAAGTACTGGTTCAGATGCCAATTGTGGAGGTACAAATAAACCATATCGTTGTAGTTATACAGAAAAAATATTTGCTTTTTGATTATGAAGCTCAACAAGAAACAGGAACACATATCGCAAATAAAATAATTGCTCATGATTTTGAAGGAAATAAAATTATGTTTGATACAAATGAAGAATTTTGTAAACATGTAATATCCGAGGAATATAGGGGTTATACATTTATAGCACATTACGCAAAAGGATATGATTCACAATTTATATTAAAATACTTGGTTGATAACACTCTAAAACCATTTACGATTTATAATGGTACTAAA